AGAGAGAGAGAGAGAGAGAGAGAGAGAGAGAGAGCTTGGTGACATTTGGATCCAGACTCGACATTGGACTTCAGACATTTTGAAGAAGGATTATTTGGGACTTGTAACGAGACTTGGTGTTGACGACTTCCCATCTCCCCCTTCCTCTCCTTCATCTGATCCCCTCCTCTTCGTCTGTGTATGTCTGGACCTGGCACTCCTTTCCTGTGTATGGCGCCAGGCTCCTTCACACCTCGTGATGAGCATCATGTATGTTTAGTCTGCGTTGAGACATTGATTGGGCTAGTCATTAGTATTCTAGCATTCTGCTTCGCTATCTTGCGCTACGTGAAAAAGGGGGGTCAGTCCCGGTCAGGTCAGGATCTGTATCTAAGTCTTCCCTGCGCTATAAAGCACCATTTTGTATGTATCAGAATGCGCATTGCTTGTTGAGATTCCACTTGCACTGCATTGTCCAGTCGGTCCTTTTTATCACATTGCGGATCCTCGGTTTGTATGTACATCGCCCAACTGGGCATGTAACAGAGAGAGAGAGAGAGAGATGCTTCTTCTTCTTCATTTGTCCTATTTCTAGTTCAACTACTACTCTAACAGAATCAACATGTCATGAATTGCAAACACTTCATCTATCTAATCTGATCCTCAACAAAGTCAGTCTAGTTTTTCGGGAGATGCCTCAAGTCTGCCTTTTTGAGTATAGTCCGGGGAAGTCTGTGAGTTTCTATGCCAGTCAATCAGTATCCGGTTACATCACGTATGTGTAATGTGTAATGTCTTCAGTGCTCTGCCAGACCACTTTTTTTTTTTTTTTTTTTAAGCATGTGGCTGCATGTCCAAATCCCCCCACACCCCCCCTCTCTTCTTCCCAAGACAACAAACACCCACCCACCCAATCCCATCCCCCGCCCCACCTGCAGTAAAACCAAGACCTGCAAACAGACTTTCGAAAGCGGCTTCCACAACTTTCCGGTTGTTCAGGATATGCTCAGCAAGGCCCCAAAACTATAAAAAAAAAATCCCTGCTGGTGGGCATTTGCCCACTGGTGCGCTGTGGGACGGTCGGCGGCCGTCATGGTTGGTCATTGGCAGGGAAACCACCTTGCAACCATTGCTAAAACTCACATGAATCGGAATGTTTCCTTGCCGAAGATAAATCTGTGCTCCAGCTGCCACGTCCTCTGTGCTTTGTGTGATGACACGAAGCGTCATCTTCTGAGTGAATCTTGGCACATGGATTCGATAGTAACTTTCTCGGGGATACCGCCCACTGTCGCTGCTTGCATCAATAACCTTGTAGACCGTTTGATTTGTGCTCAATTCTCCCTTGACCAAAGGGACCTCTGCCACAGAAAATTCATTTGACGCATTTTCTCAGATGCCTGGATGCCAGTGCAAGGAACCAAGCGATGAACATCCATTTTTGCCTTTGCAGAGAAAGACACAAAGTGCAGCAAGCATATGAGAGTAAAGTCGAAAGCAGACTACGAGCCAAAATCACACCAAATCAAAACACAATTATGCTGGAGTCGCTTCATACAAGATCCCAACATCTCGCCTCCAAATATCAAAACAACAACACCAATATAGATGTTCAATGTACTCTGCGTACTTCCCACTTCCCACTTCCCACTTCTCTCTCTCTCTCTCTCTCTCTCTCTCTCTCTCTCTCTCTCTCTCTCTCTCTCTCTCTCTCTCTCTCTCTCTCTCTCTCTCTCTCATTGTCTTTCCAGTGTTTCCACTGTTCTTCTTCCCTAGCGATGTTCTCTGGTCACCATCAGGTAAGTCCCACGGCAAATCGCTGTCCCTCTTCCAATTGTCCTCCCTAGATCGTGCACGCCCCATCTTCATCCTGAGCAGCTATGGCTGCTACAGGGAGAGCCGTTTGACTGCACCGCCTCTCTCGCCTTTGTCGTGAACGCCCTGGGCCCAGCCAGCTTCTGCCGCACTATTTTTTGCACACTTAGCCAGCAATCCTCCAAAATGTCGAAGTGTCCCTCAGCATCCGCCTCCTATGCTTTTGTCAAGCGGTTGCGTCATCGAGCACTGTCTCATGGGCTGCTTCTTTGCAGCATAGGAGGCTCCGAAACATCTTCCACGGGTAGTCAAGGGTAGAATCAGTGGGTGTGCCCTGCCCAAGGTGGCAATGCTAAGCGACCACATGGCAGCTGGACTGCAACTACCGTCTTCCCCCAAACACAATCCACCCCATGGTTGTATGAGACCAGCCTCAGAGCTTGCATACACTCATCATTAGGGATCGTTGCATTTGGGAGAACACGGTAGTGATTTTGCAAGTGGAACATGGGTTTCCATGGGAGTGTTGTACCCATTACAGGCTTAACAGAAATCGCTAGATTTGCTACCATGTAAGCTGCCTATAAAGTGTACGCAATTGTCCCATTTGCCAAATCGCTAGGTCAGCAGTATAAGAAGTACACAGTTTGGCATTCCTTCAACACTCTTGCTTCTATCTCAGCTTAACTCCAGGGTGTTTCTAACAGAATGAGTGCTGCAGTTGAGACTTGATGGGCTTGGAAAGGGATTGAATCAGGAGTGACCTGGGAAGAAGAAGAAGAAGAAGAAGAAGAAGAAGAAGAAGAAGAAGAAGAAGAAGAAGAAGAAGAAGAAGAAGAAGTGGAGCTCACTGTAGTCATGAGGTTGCATCCTTTGGAAGGAAAAACCACCACTACCTTTCGCAGGCAAACTCGAAACACCAAAATACCATACACCACATTCTTTGGAGGCCGGGCGCCACCGGACCATAAAGGCTGGCGGCGCCAGCCAAAAGCAAGCAAAAAGTCGCACTGGCAATTCGGCAAAGCTTGGTGTGCACTGTGCAGTCTTTTACCGCCTCAGCAAAAAGAGGCTCCGAGGTAGTGGTGGTTTAAAGGGGTGAAAAAAGAAATTTGCCAGAAATGCCCGGAATTGTTTGTCTCAACCCGCTGTTCTTTGGGGAGACAATTGCCTGATTTGCCCATCTCAACATCCGGATCATCCGTGAGGCTTTCTATGTTGTAACATCAAGACAGACATCTGGACAATCCAGTGCACGGTTTTGTAATCCAGAAAATGATCTGGTCGGTTTTCTAGATCACGACACTTTGACAAGTAACTGGACGAACCAATGGAGTCCATAGTCTTTACCAATCAGGCATTGGAAGGCAATATTCCGGCTGAATTTCTTGATCCCGACACCCAGAAGAGCATCTAGGCAATCGATTGGGGGGTGGTTGGGGGTGGTTGGGCCCTTTGGGGTGGTTGGGGCACGTCAGGGAGGTGTTTGGGGGTGGTTGGGGGGTGATTGGTGGGTGGCTGGGGTGGTTGGTGGGTGGTTTGGGGGTATTTGGGGTAAAGAAGAAGGGTAAAGAGGAGGGGTAAAGAAAACCATAAACATAAAAAAAATAGTTTAAAATACACATTGTTGGATAAAACAAGAAAAGACCAGCAAAGAAACCAAAATCTCCGGACTACGACCAGGAAAATGAGGTGAGCTGCCGCTGCTTTGCTCTTTTAGAGCATGTGCAGCTTGCCAATGCCCGGCCTTGGAAAAGAAGTTGGTCGGCGAGGCCAACCGGTGCACTAATGGACCCAGCAGGACCCCTGCCAACCGCCCCCCCCC